AGTGCACATGGAGTAACACAGCTACACCGTGCTGTTTCTATGAAGATAAACAATGTACATGTACGGCACAGCTGACAAAGGGCCTGGCTCATGCTAGACATTCAGAAGATGTCTGCCACCTCTGGCTGTTCTTTCTTAGGACATAAAGTTTTACATGTCATTTATTTATAACTTACCGCATGGTTTGTTTCGTGGTCTTAATTGAAGTTTGTCATATTGCATTTTAGTTTTACATAGGGATTTTTAAATGTGATTTTTTACTTCCATGGGTAATGTTTAAGATCCACTGAACTGTAATTTCCTAGAAAATAGAAAAGTCTTTTTCTACAAAATTAGGGGTCTTAATAAAACAAAGTGTAATTTTACTATTTGGATTCTTTTATAATCCACAGTACTCCTGTAAGCTTTGGTTTTAGAGAGCTGTGTTAAGCTGCTAGGGTTCCCAGACAAAACACCACAGACAGGCGGCTTGAACAACAAATGGGTTTTCTCACCGTCCTGGAGGCTGGGAGTCCACGGTCAAGTTGCTGGCAAGGTTGATTTCTCCTGAGGCCCCTGTCCTTGGCTTGTGGACAGCTAGCTTCCTGCTGTGTCCTCTCTTGGCTTATCCCTGGTGTGTTCCACTTCTTACAAGGACACCAATCCTGTTGGATCAAGCTCCACCCTATGACCCTAATAAACCTTAATTACCTCCTAAAGGCCCTATCTTGAAATAGGGGCATGTTAGACGTTAGGGCTTTACCACATGAACTTGGGGCAAGGTCAGGCCATGACAGCAGCTGCCCTCTGTCTGGGAAAGCCCGCAGCACAAGGTGCAGGGCTGCTCCAGTGATGAGGTCATTGGTAGCCTTTTTCCATTCTGCCCCTTCAGCGGATGACAGATGCTCACTTCCTTAGCTCCTCTTTTTTACATTTCTCACCACTTTGTCTATAACTTTCTTTTGACCATCACCCATAGACAGAAACATATTTATGTGTGTGTGCTTACCTCTAACAATATTTCACAAGTCAGTAGTGCCCTTATAAAGTGGTATGCATTATATTTTCTATTCTGTTTCAGTTTTTAAAAGCTGTTTTCCGATGGGCTACTTCATGTAATTGGAGGAACGCAGCTACCGTGTAGGCTTTGATGTGTCACTTACGTGGAAAGGCTCTTTCTGGCCCTTGGGGGTCGGAGACGTGCTGTCGGCGTGCATCCGTCTCTGGTATTTTGAAGTTCATCATAAGACTTCCCTGCAGAGGAAATTATGGTTTGGAAAATTTCCCTGCCATTTGGCAACTCTCGTAGGAAATAGAAGACAGTAGGTGGAAAAGTTCCGCCACACCGATCACCTGTGCTGGGAGAGGCACACGCCTTACGTCCAGGCCGGGAGCAGGCAGAGTGCGCGCGGCCTGGCTGGCGCACTGATGGGTGTGTCTCGTCCTTCCCTCTCTGTGGGCTTGGTTTCGCTTTAGAATTATCTTTCCCTATCATGAGGTAGGAGGTAGAAGAATTTTTTAAAAAATCATGTGGAGGATATGTTTTTATTAATTTTTAGAGATAGGAAAGGAGGGAGACAGAGAGACAGAAACACCGATGTGAGAAACATTGCTTGGTTGCCTTCCATATGCTTCCTGACCAGGGATCAAACCAACAACCTAGGTATGTGCCCTGACCAGAAGTTGAACCAGCAACACTTTTTTTTTTTTGGTTAATCCTCACCCAAGGATACTTTTCCATTGATTTTAGATAGAGTGGAGGGGGGGGGGGGGGGAGAAGCATCAATGTGAGAGAGACACAAAGATTGACTGCCTCCTGCACAACCCCAACCAGGGCTGGGGATCGACCCTGCAGCCTGAGAGCCAAACTGGCCCAGGTGAGCCTGCAGCCTTTTTGGTGTATGGAATGATGCTCCAACCAACTGAGTCACCTTGCCAGGCAGTAGAATAACTGTTAAAAGAATAATAGTTTAGCCCTGGCCGGTTTGGCTTAGCGTTGGCCTGTGGACCAGAGAGTCCTGGGTTCGGTTCCTGCTAAGGGCATCTACCTCAGTTGGTTTGTCTCCGGCCCCTGTTGGGGTTGTGTGGGTAGCAGCCAGTTGATGTGTCTCTCTCACATCGATGTTTCTCTCTCTCTTCCCCCCACTCTCCCTCCCACTTTATCTAAAGATAAATGCAAAAAATGTCCTTGGGTGAGGATAAAAAAAAGAATAATTGTTTAATTCTTTGATGTCATAAGTCTTAATTCCCATGGTATACTGTGTTGGGCCTTGATTATGATTTATTCGTGGTGTTTGTGGTTATCGGTTGAGGGAGACATGAGCTTAGCTGTCAGCAGTGGGCCATGCTGGCCCTCAGAGCTCAGTAGCAGAATCCATGCAAACCCCTTCATGTCATCAGGAGCTTGTTCCTTGCAAGCAGGAAGTCGCTGTTTACAGAGTCAAAGCATGGGGCCTAAGGGTTATGTAAATGTTACTTAATAACGTTTCTGTGGGAGGACTTATTGCGGAAGGGCTGCAGGATAGTCCCCGTGGTAGAGGGTGAGGACTGGTTTGCCTTTCATCTGCCATGTGTGCCCTTGGGGAAGAGTGGAGCCCATGTCCCCACTCAGTCCTCACCGCACATAGGGAGTCCGTGCACTAGGAAGGTCACGGGGTGAGTTCTCACCCCTCTCCCCTCCTCTTGTTCTTCCTTATTTCTTCAGATCCTTTATTTTGGTGAATAGAAGTACAAGAAAACATACAGCAAATGACTGAAGGCCAGTGAAGACACTCCTCTTTCCATTTCTCCTTGCTTTTAAAAAGACTTTTCTGACCAGTTGTCTTTATTGTGATAGATAATAAAGGATGAAGTCTAGAAAGGGAGCCTGGGAAGTTTGCTGGCATCTGTGAGGACCCAGAGACTCTCTGAGAGTGTGGCGCCCGCGGAGACGCCGTCGCTGACCCACCGGGTGTAGGTCTGTTTGCTTTTTGTGATGGACACCTACACCACCGGCATCGGAGGACACGGACACGAGGCGGGGCAGCCAGACATGCCCTGGCCGCATCAGCCCTGAGAGGGGCAGGCGGGCGGGGCCCTGAGCTCAGATGGACAAGAGATCCCTGCGGTGGAGGCTGGGATTGTTTGGTTTGATTTTGTTTCCAAGTGATCTTTCCCCCCCAAGAGGAACGAGGAGTCTGAAAGGCCATGGGTTTCTGGCCACCACAGGGGCCCTTCTAGGTGGGCAGGCAGTAGAGAGCAGGAGGGTCATAGCCCACCCTCACGGGCTGCTTCCTGGGTTCATCGATCCCCGAGGAGCAAGACAAGGGAGGTAGTTGATGGATATCTGAGTATAGTCACTGGTTGTTAGGGACTGAATGGCGACCCTCATAAAATCCAAACATCGAAGCTCTAACCCCCGAGTGGTATTGAGCTGGGAGCTTTGGGAGCATTCGGTGCAGAGGATGTCATAGGGGAGAACGACCCCTCTGTGCGGCAGGAGGACATGAGAAGGCAGCCGGGAAGGGCCCTTCCCAGGAGCCAGACCTGCCAGTTCCACAGTCCTGGGCTCCGCCCTCAGAACTGGGAGGAGTGGCCCGTCAGCCCTGGGACTTTGTGACAGCCGGGGCTCCAGGTGGGCCAGGGCCAGCGCCTGGCAGTCCTGAGCCCGTGAACAGAGACGTTGAGGGAGAGCCATGGACCCAGCTGCCCATCACGGGGGAGGAGCCTGGCTTTAGCCGTGACCGAAGGACGTTGCTTTGGCGATGCCGTGCTGAAAACTTGGGAGGGTAAAAGAAAACAAATACCATTGTTTTAAACTCTTTTTCATTTATGAAGTATTCTTAGATTCTTCTGTTGACTCCTTCCCAAACTGCCTGTTCAAAACAGTCCTGGTACAGGTATTCTTCCCACTCCCTGACCTCAAATCCACAAGCCCAGAGTGAGTGCTGTGGCCTTTTTATGCGTGGGTATTGATAATATCTGCACATGTGTTCATACTCTCGGAGAGGGAAGGTGCCCGCAACACAGGGAGAGGTTTGTCAGGACGCTGGCCTGGGTGCGGGTGGTGTGGCCCGGCGGCCACCACGCTGCTCGCCTGGGTGAGGTGCGTCTGCGGTGCGGTGTGTCTGGTATCCTGTCATTTCTTTGAGGTTAGACTCTTTCCTGCTCTGCATTTGGGAAATCTGGCTGCTTGTTGACTGTTCTGTACTCAGCGTATCCAAAGCACATATGTGCCTTTGTTGTCCAGGGCCTTGCTTGCTCCGCATCTGTGGGCTGGGCCAGCATCTGCGACGTGCGGGCCCTTCACTTGTCGCTGGCACAGGCCTGGTGCCAGGTGACCCTCATGCCTTGGAGAGGACGAGGCGCCTGGAGAGGGAATGCAAACAAAGAAAAGAACTAAGCTTTTTGGTAACAGTGTTGCATAATGCTTCAAAAAGGGCGATTTGTTGTTGATATAGCCTTTGAAAGAAATTAACTACTATATACATTGTGATGTTTTTGTTCTGACATGTGCTGTGAAACGTTTTATGTATGTGTTGTAAGAGACATGGAGCACGAGAGTGTGAACCTGGACACTGCTCAGCCAGGCCTGCGGCAAGTGCAGCGCCCTCGGCCAGCAGCCTCAGCAGGCTCGCCCCTGTGCCGGCGGAGGTTCCTCTTGAGGGCCTCGTTCCCACGGGGTGTGGGGTGGTTGAGAGGCACTGTGCTGCCGGGGCCTGCATCCCATCGAATAGCTGTATAATGACAAGTCTTTGTGTCGTTTGTGTGGAGGCCATAGGGGTTCCACATGTAGGGCAGTCCCGAGGGTCACCTGATTGGTGTGGCGTTGGGGCAGGTGTTTGTGAACCCCGGTGCTGTGATGGGGAGACCACAGCTTCAGGGGAGGCACCGTCCTCGTGTGTCAGCTGCGCAGTGTGGGCCAGGCTGAGAGAGACCAGGACGTTGTATTACCACAGACATAGGACTCCTGTGATGGGGAGACACATTCATGTTCCGAGACCTGCTTTGTCTTTGAACCCTGGACTTTCTGTCATGACCAGGTGCCACACCGGAGGAGATAAACCAGCACTGGGACTGGCTGGAGCAGAACCTCCTGCACACCCTGTCCGTCTTCGACAGCGCAGAGGACGTCGTCAGCTTTGTCAAAGGGAAGGTGAAGGTAGGTGTCTTGACGTAACATTTCTCCGCATTTCTCATCTTTCTGGTAACTTCCTTATAGCTTTGAGCACTGAAGTGTGTTAATTCTATTCTGAGAATATTCTCCACTGTAAGTGAACTTATTGGCTTAATAAAGCCAAATGAGTTCCACTTTTCCCCTGCTCAGTTTGGCAAAATACACCTAAAATTTTAAAAAGACCTTATTCTTAGGCCTAAGTTTTTGTTATCTTGAACAAAAGTGAAGGTCATTTTTTGTCTCAGGAAAAAGAACATTAAAATTTGTTTTTCAGAACAACAATGTTATTTGACTTTTTAAGTTAGTTATTCCCAACATTTTTGCAGTTATGACATCTTGTAACTCTTTATCATGTTGGACCTAGCACTTTCCTCTGCCTAAAAGTGGATATTTATTCTTAAAATATGTTGATTGAATGGAATTAAAGCCAATTAAGTTTTGTTGTTGTTTTTTCTTTTATCCTCACTCGAGGACATTTTTTCATTTTTTGTTCAGATAGAGTGGGAAGGAGAGAGAGAGAGAGAGAGAGAGAGAAACATCGACGTGAAAGGGACACATCGAGTGGCTGCCTCCTGCACGACCCAGCCAGGGCCGGGGACAAACTGCAACCAAGGTACATGCCCTTATCGGGAACCGAACCCGGGTCTCTGTGGACCGCAGGCTGACATTCTAACCGCTGAGCCAAACCGGCCAGGGCAGTGTTTCTCTTCTTAATTGGAAGAAGGAAATTAATTTTTGGTACTGTGGCTTTAGGACTATAGGGAAGGAAAAACTTCCTCTCTCTTTCTGGGCTCTGGGCTGTGTCCCTGGACATGAAACGGACAGAAGTTAGATTAACAAGCGAGAAACAGTTTGCTAACACGTAGGTCACACAGACAGTGGGGGGATGCAGTGCTGAGCCATTGGAGGGGTGGGCAGAGCTCGGGGCTGAGTGCCATCCTAGCAGAGACAGTGTGTTTGCCGACCTGGGAGACAGAGGGAAGGGGTTCAGGTTCCGAGGGGCGGCAGGCTGTCGGGAATGTATGGCAGGAAAATGAACGGTGGTGAAGGTGTTCGTGTGGTTTGTCAGATGGACTCCTCTTAGTGCTGCCTGGTCTGCTCTGACTCCATTGTGTCTCCAACTGCTATGGAATATTTAGAACCTCAGGAACCTCAGCCAACATGTCCCTTTTCTGCTTTGGAAGACGATACATGCATGGTGGTGGGGTGTATGAGGGAGCTGTTTGCTTTATACCCCACATTTCGAGCCTAATGCGGAGGTTTTTTTAAAGACTAAGTGTGAATGGTGCCGCAGGTAGTTTCAGCTTGGATGCTCGAGTTCCCCTGCAGCGAGTGGTCCTGGCCCTGTGTGGGAGCGCGGGCAGGGCTGGTAAAGTAGCGCTTGTCTGAGAGCTGGCCTTGGCAGTCAGGGGCTCGCCCAGGCCTCCCGGCTGCTCAGAGGCCACGCAGGAGGCCTGCGCTCAGCTCTGCGCCTTAGCGACTTCCCCTCCCTCTGTGGCCGTGTTTCCGGGCCGTGGACACACAGTCCAGCGCGCCGTCCTCGTCTGTCCTTGTGTGCGTTGTGGAGTAATGAAGACTCCGTCCCTCTCCCGTACCTTCCTGCCTCCTTGCTCTTCTCCCTGAGTGAGGGGCTGTTGTCTTTCTGTGTGTCAGGCTCTGATTGCAGAGGAGACGAGCAGCCGGCTTGCCGAGCAGGAGGAGGAGCCAGAGAAGTTCCGAGAGGCCTTGGTCAAGTTTGAGGCCAGGTTCAACTTCCCAGAGGCAGAGAAGCTGGTCACCTACTACTCGTGCTGCTGCTGGAAGGGCAGGGTTCCCCGGCAGGGCTGGCTGTACCTCAGCATCAACCACCTCTGCTTCTACTCCTTCTTCCTAGGCAAGGAGCGTAAGTGAGCCCGCGCTGCGGGGGGGGGGGGGGGGGGGGGGGAGGGCCTGGCCTGTCCCAGGTCATGGGGGCCCTTGCAGTGCTTAGCGCTGTCCTGAGATAAGTCATTGACAAGAAGAGTCAGACCACAGAAGATTTAAATAAGTAACTGAGATGATAACAGGTGATATTTAACTAATTTCCAAATAACTTCTGCAGAAACTTATATTTAATTATATAGACTACTACCACTAATGGACCTGATTTTGTGAGGGTTTATTTTTCTGCTGCCTTAAGAAACATTTCTGTGTAGCTCACTTCATGTAGCTACTGACAGGTCTTACTACTACGTATTGCTTTGAATACGGTGTTGTAACGACCTGGGAGTTCGGAAGGAGTCGAACGCATTGCTGCTGCTTAACACCGGGCCAGTCTCCGTGCCCAGCTCGAGGGTCACGCCTGCTCCTGGAAGGGGAGCTGGATGGATGGTCGTTTCTAGAGGCGATGCTTCACCTGGGCCCACTTGAGAGCTAGGTGGCGACTCCCATTCGCACATCTACCCACCGACAGGCCCTGTGCTAGTAACGGAATTCTAAGGCGAAAAGGAGAAGCCACAAATGCCAATAGTATATTACATTTTTAAAAAGTTATCCTCATTGAAACTTCCTTTGGAGTCAAATATTGTTTCAAGTGGCATGTAAGGTGGTATGGATGTTGTGTTTATACATATTTACACATGCAAATATTTTCTTTTTCTTTCTGCATTTCAGTTTATATTTCAGCTTGAACCCAAGGAAGGAGCCCCTCTTGAGTTCTGCGGTAGCCAGCTTCCCACACATGTCATCCCTCTTTGTCCTGGGCCACCAGCCTCGGTTCTGATGCCCCAGCTCAGACACTCTGTTCGCACAGCGCCCCCCCCCCCCCCACCTGCAGTGTGTTCTGACCTGACCGTGACCTCCCTGCTCTTTCTGGAGTGCTGCTCAGAATCATACCGATCTTTCCTCTGCTTTCCCCTTCTTATCTCTGTTTGGAAACTCCTGTTCATCCTTCAGAATTTAACTCAGCTTTTATCACCTCCAGGGACCTTCCCTGTCCCCTTACCATTGGAACCACGTTTGTGTTTCTACTTCAGGTCCTGTCAAGTTGCTGGTGGCTTGTTTCCATGTCTGTTTTTACTATTTGAGCAAAGCTCCTGAGGGCAGGGCTTTTCACAGAGCGCTTGACGAAGGGAAGTCGGTGTGGGTGGATGTGTGTGTGAGTGTGGAAAGTGCACACTTGACGAAGGGAAGTCGGTGTGGGTGGATGTGAGTGTGTGTGAGTGTGGAAAGTGCACACTTGACGAAGGGAAGTCGGTGTGGGTGGATTGAGTGTGTGTGAGTGTGGAAAGTGCACACTTGACAAAGGGAAGTCGGTGTGGGTGGATGTGAGTGTGAGTGTGTGGAAAGTGCACACTTGACAAAGGGAAGTCGGTGTGGGTGGATGTGTGTGTGAGTGTGTGGAAAGTGCACACTTGAAGAAGGGAAGTCGGTGTGGGTGGATGTGAGTGTGAGTGTGTGGAAAGTGCACACTTGATGGAACTTGGAGATGTGGGTGGAGTGTGTGTGTAAAGTGCACATTTAATGAATGGAAGTCGGTGGTGTGGATGGGGTGTGTGTATGTGAATGTGATTATGTGTGTAAAGTGCACACTTAATGAATGGAACTCAGAGGAGTGGGTGTAGTGTGTGTGTGTAAAGTGCACATTTAATGAATGGAAGTTGGTGTGGATGGAGTGTGAGTGTGTGTGTGTAAAGTGCACGTTTAGTGAATGGAAGTTGGCAGTGTGGATGGAATGTGTGTGTGAGTGTGTGTGAAGGACTTTATGTGAAAGCAACTAGAAAGAAGGAACTGAAGCAGCTCATTCTCTAACCCAGTGATTTTCAGCTGGTATGCACGGCAGACACACTGGTGTGCCACAAGAACTTTTAAAATATATATTAGCTGACTATTTAGTCAGGGGCACTGATCTGTTTTCCCTTAGATTGTTAAGTAAAAAAATGACTGGTCAACAGCCAATACACTAGCCGCCTAGGGTGAATGAATCAAAATTATACTATTTTTTTGGTCAGATTGGCAAAGAATATATTTTTTTGGTGTGCCACAAAATTTTAGTAATTAGTTTGCGTGCTATGTGATGAAAAATGTTGATATTTGCTGCTCTAGGCTAACGTAGAAACGTGTCTTTTTTTTTTTTATCCTCACCCGAGGACATTTTTTTTTGTTTTTGTTCAGATAGAGCGGGAGGGAGAGAGAGAGAGAGAAACATCGATGTGAAAGGGACACATCGAGTGGTCGCTACCCACACGACCCAACCGGGGCCAGGGACAAACTGCAACCGAGGTACGTGCCCTTAGCAGGAACCGAACCCGGGTCTCTCCAGACTGCAGGCCGACGCTCTAACCGCTGAGCCAAACCGGCCAGGGCGAAACGTGTCTTTTTAATATTATGAATGCACCGAAGACATTCTTGCAAAATAAATGGAAAGAAATGGTAGAAAGGAAAACACTTAATCATCCCCTTCTTTATTTGAAAAGGAAAAGGAGTTATTTTCCAACACTTAGCAATCATTGTTACTAAACCTAATTTTGTTAGGATGATAGAATTTGGGAAAAATGAATGATTCCCAATATTTGGTAACATCTGTTATTTGAAGTTGTTGCAGGTGTCTTTCCCTCTGCATCGGCACCCAGCCTCGCTGCCAGTGTGTTGGAAACATTTCTGAGACTAGGACACTTGTTTATAAAGTGAGCTGCTGGCACTGCATTACTTTAAAAAGAGTTCCATCAAAACTACTTGCACCCTGCCTTCTGGCCTATAGCAATTGTTATTCGACATGGTCTAAGTGTTAAGCCTATTTCTCTTTTGCACTTTGTTTTATAGCTTATTTAGTGTCTGCTTTTGAAACTAGCGTTTATGTGGATTGATACATTTCTGTGTATTTTTGCAAAACTTTAAATACTCGGGAAAATCTTCACGTTGTTAACTTGGTATTTCAGAATGATGCTCCTTGTACATATGCAGTAGCTAACAACTTGGGAAGTTTCACTTAAACCTTAAAGAAAACCGTTCGGACGTGAGCTGGGCTCTAGCCGCAGCTCTGTGCTGTTCTTTCCTGCTGTTCCAGAGGCGGCTGCATCTCAGTGCGAGGAAAGCCCCGGGCTGTTGTGGTGCACACAGGTTTGGGGTAAAATATGTATTTGCTCTTTTTTTCCTTCTAGTTAAACTTGTAGTCCCTTGGGTTGATATCCAGAAGTTAGAAAAAACATCCAATGTCTTTCTGACGGCTACTATCCGAATCACTACACATAGTAAGGTGCGGGACTTCTCCATGTTCCTGAACCTTGAGGAGGTGTTTAAAGTCATGGAGCAGCTGGCGGACGTGACCCTGCGAAGGCTGCTGGATAACGAGGGCTTCGACCTGGACCCGGACCTGCAGGCACCAAGCCAGATCACCAAGAGGTAAGGGCTTCCGGTCCCAGGTGCCTCGCCCCGCAGACCGAGCCCGTGTGCTGCCTTCCTTGACGGGTGCTTTGTGCCTGTGCTGCTCCGGATGCAGGACCCAGGCTGTCCCCTGTGGTTGATCATGGCAGACACAGTGATTGGCAGTGACTGTCATTTATTACTTTGTGCTGTAGACTTTGACTTCTGGCTCCTATTCCTTCTTTTTTCAGATGTTATTTCAAAATTGATTTTTATTTAAAAAATACTTCTAGAAAATGTAATATAGTAGGCTTAGGATAGAATTCTATTCAGCATTGGGCTTTATTAGTGAATATTAGAAAATTTGTATTTTCATAGTGAATTATCTGGTAGAAAACATTTTCAGGACAGCTGGATTTATTTCGGCACCGCTTTGTCGTTAGAAATGTGTCTTACTAAGGGTGTCAGTTAACATATTTATTCTTTGTCCCAAATTGATACTAATCATCAACACTTGTGAGGCAGCTGCTTGAGTTATTTGTCACATTAAAGAAGTTCGGCTTTTTTATCTAAAATTCAGAAAGTGTTGTTAGACTTCGCTGTGATTTCTGCTTGTGGCCCCCCGGCTCTCCTGCAGTGGCGCAAGGTGAGCCGCGGCGAAGGTGCCCTGGGGAGCAAGTGAACCTATAAAGTACTGACCTGGGCGGATGCTTTATGTACTTGCAGAATCAGCACTGCTATTTGGATGTTAGTAGTCATTACATTTTTTTTATTGTGGTAAAATATATGTAACATAAAATTCACCATGTTAATCATTTTAAGGTACGGTTTAGATGTGTTCAGTCCATTCCTATTGTGTACCCATCACAGCGCTGTCTCCAGGACTCGCTTCATCTTGCAAAGCTGAAACTGCCCGTTCAAGAACATCTCCCATCCCCCACCCCCCAGGCCCTGGGAACCAACATTACTTTCTGTTGCTATGAATTTGACTATAAGTGGAATCACTCAGTGTTTGTCTTGTGACTGGCTTATTTCACCGAGTGTAGCATCCGCAAAGGCTCATCCTGTGTAGCATGTCATAGCTTCCTAGCTCTCTGAGTGGATAATCATTGTGTTGCATGTAAGTGTTACACTGCGCACCATTCATTCATCTGTGCCTTGTGAACAGTGCTGCTGGGCCGAGGGGCTGCGCCTGGAGGTGGGTTGCTGTCACATGGGCGTCTGCTTGCTTTTCCAGGAACCTCTGTTTTTCTGCCCTGGCCAGTGTGGTGCATTTGGTGGGAACATCATCCGTGAACCAAAGGTTGCGGGTTCAGTTCTGGGTCAGGGCTCATACCTAGGTTCCAGGTTCAATCCCTGGTCCCGGCCCGTGGGGAGGCAAGCGCTCGATGTTTCTCTGTCTGCTCCCTTCCTCCCTCTCTAACATCAAGTAAAAAGAGTTTTATTATTCATCTATTTTAACATTTCTTTTGTTCCTTCAACACATGTATTGTCTTCCCTGGATGTTCGGGGAAGTTTCTTTGTGATTGGTGGTCTCAGAACAGCCGAGTGTTCGGTTTTCATGGGGAGACGCAGGCGGCTCCCAGGCCTGGAGCACTTAACGCCCCTTTCGGTAAAACTGTCCACTTGGGAAGAAAATTCATCCATGTTGGCAGTTTTCATAATCAGGTGAATTTTACAAGGCTGCCCCCACCGTTCTACACGAGGAACTATTGGAAAGTGGGGGAGGCTCCTGCGGGGTAGGGGTGGCGGCTTGGCACCCACAGTAAGTTTTCTTGGCAGCTCTTTGGTCTCATTTGTGAGGCTGATGTTGTCCTTCGTGACGGGGCAGCCAGGAGAGGGGCAGAAGTGAAAACTGCAAATGGCAAAGTAGAAACACACTGTCTTCTCTGTAATGGGAAGTCTGTTTCAGGAAGGGTAAACCTAGCCTTTAAGCAACCTGGAAAGGAATTAGAATTGAATTCATAGGTCAGATTGAACTTTTCAAACACAAGAGTGATACTTGAGATTTGTAGAACTAGGGAAAGAACTAGCCTTGCCTGGGGACTGACCAGAGCAGAAGCTGATTTTGAATTTACGCAAGTTGAAAAGCCACATCAGGTCAGTGTCTGCTTCAGGCATTTTCTTAATGTGACAGTGAGAAGACTTGTTAAGGGAATGTGATCTTGTTCACCAGCTTTCTGCCTGCTCTGATGTTAACTGTCAGGGTTGGAAGAGGGTGTGGAAGATTGTTTGAATAAATAAATCAGAGTATCATTGAAAGGAAGTGATTGTTGGAAAAATTTACTTCTTATTAGTAAAAATAAAAGCCCAACATTTGGAGTTATAGCTGATCAAAAAAGAGATTATAGGAATTGAACCCAGTACCACAACAGAAACAGAAATAATTGCTAAATATGAAATAATGGGTGATTCACTGGTCAAAGGTGAATCCATTTCAATAAGACTATTTTTAAAAAAATATGTTTTCATTGATTTTTTAGAGAGAGAGGAAGGGAGAGGGAGAAGAGAGAAAGAAACATTGAACACCGCCTTCTGCACGCCCCCACTGGGGATCGGAGCCGGCAGCCCAGGTACGTGCCTGGTCAGGAATCGAACCCGGACCTCACAGTCCATGAGGCGACGCTCAGTCCACTGAGCCACATGGGCTGGGCATCCAGTAAGACTTTTTAGCAGAATATGAGCCAACAGTTAGAGATGGGAGCAAAGTCTCCAGGAAGGTACTTTCAAGTCTGGGCCCTGCTGATGAGGGAGACAGGTGCTTCAAGCAGCAGGAGGCCACTGCATGGAGAAAAGCTCCTGAACGGGCAACAGGACGAACTTTCGCGGGTGGCTTAAAGCCCCGGAGTCAAAGGTGTTTGATGAGCAGCCTGCAGTCTGCACTGCCCAGGAGGAGAAACAAGACAGAAGCAGAGCCGTTGAGCTTGAGTGCAGCACGTGGAGGTCCCAGAGCCTGGGTGATGATCTTCCTTCATCTGACAGTGCTACCTTTATTTGATGATATGACTGAATATTCTTCACGTACGTGCATTTAAACAAGTGGTTTCTTTGAAACACTGGAGTTTTGTTAAGCTGACTTTTTTACTGCACACTTGGATTTGATGATGAGCACTCATTATGCATCAGTATAAACACTGAACATTTTCCTGTGAGTAGGCTGGTATTTGTGCTTTTGCTTTCTTTTTGCATAATGTTGATCCTAAGTCCATTTCTTTTCTTTTTTATGCTAATGTTTTCTCTTATTCTCTACATGCAAAATCAAAGATTTTTTTGTTCAGAAAATATTGGATAACCTGAGTGGCCCTCACATCCTGCAGAGGTTTGAGACATGGCATCGCGATATTTTCAGCTCTGCATTCATTTGTGCATGTGTGTCTGAGAGTGCATGAGGGTGCTTCACTGTGGTGCCTCTGGGCCTGCCGTTCCGTGGCCTCCTGGCTTCTCTTCTCTTCCAAGTCTTCTTTGGTGAGAATGTTCACTCCTCCAGGGTCGCGTGGCGTGGCCTTGCAGCCTCCCACTTACTGTCCCCCAGGGTCGCGTGGCGTGGCCTGGCAGCCTCCCACTTCCTGTCCCCCAGGGTCGCGTGGCGTGGCCTTGCAGCCTCCCACTTCCTGTCCCCCAGGGTCGCGTGGCGTGGCCTGGCAGCCTCCCACTTCCTGTCCCCCAGGGTCGCGTGGCGTGGCCTGGCAGCCTCCCACTTCCTGTTGCGGGAGGTCACCGTTTGCTGCCTGTTTTCTGCAACGTGGAGTCGACTCTTCGTTGGCATTTTAGAATTTGTTAAACTATAATAATTTTTTCAGTAATGCTTTACATTTTTTTATTTTTGTTAATCTTCACCAGAGGATATTTTTCCCATTGATTTTTAGAGCGAGTGGGAGGGAGGGAGAGGCAGAGAGGGAGAGAGAGACAGAGACACTGATGTGAGAGAGACATTGATTGGTTCCCTCCAACATGCACCCCAGTCAGGGCTGGGGATTGAACCTGCAGCTCAGGTACATGTCCTTGACCAGACTGAATCCATGACCCTCGGGTGCAAGGGCCATGCCCTAACCTCTGAGCCACTCTGGCCAGGGCTGAGTTTTTTTAATATAAGGAATCTTTTTTACCACATACATGCAGGTACAATTTTCTTGACTTCACAAATATTCTCCTTCCTTTTCAAGGGAGAAATTGATGATGGGGGGGTTTCAGGTGGACCTTTTAATAAGCATGTAGTTATCCAGATCTGGACAATTTTGTTTGTTAAATTGGAACTTTGGCTTGTTCAAGCTGGATTTTAAGTTTCACCCACTATGTGTAATTTTATTAAAACAGTGAATTCAAGTCATTTGTTCCAAGTCCATAAAAAAGTAGGCTGCAGCCCCGCCTTCCTGTCGCAGGGTCCACCCCGGGGGCTCCGTGTGGGGCGGGGCTGAGGGATCCCGTGCTGAGGGGCTGCTTCCACCTGCTCCTGCCTGTGTCGCCGTGCGGCTCAGGGCACCGCACCTGGGCTCCCGTGACGAGGGGCTGAGCCGCCCACGTCACAGTTCCGGACACTTGTCTCACTGGGGTGGCATTGCACACGCGGTCGGTAGCCCACTTTACTGGCGAAAGGCAGCGTGTGCCACGCACTGAGCTTCTTTTAAAAATTTCAAAAAATCTCATGGTCACTTGCTTGTAGTAATCAAGAAAATATTCAAAGAAAATTTGAAAACCAGTTGTGTTTAACTGCCTCAAACTGTGCCACCATAATGTATAATAATTTGAAACAATAAAAAAAAAAGAAGAAGAAAGAAGGAAAAAGTGGGGGAGAGAGAAAAGATCGAAATGGGCTCTGGTGGTGGCTGCTGATGGCGCTGCCCACCTCCGAGGCTGCCGCGGGCGGGGCCGGGCGCCGAGCGGGGCGTCCCGTCCCTACCAGCTTTCACTTGTAGCTTGCTGTCACGGAGACCCAGGCCTGTGGCTGTAAACAGGTAATGACTCAGTTAACTTGACATCCTGCCAAGAGAACCCAGGTTTTAGAGTTTAGGAAAGCAGTCTCTCCGTGTGAAGGGCGAGGTCAGAAGTGTTGGAATGGTTCTCCGGCTCCCTTCTGTTGATATATTTGCTCTTCCCTTCCCGGATACTGGCTGTAGGAAGGTGCCCCTGGGGTCAGGAGGCTGGTGGTCATGGGTTGTCGTGATGGCCACCGTGCTTGCTGCCCAGGGGCAGGGAGGGTGGGAGGTGCCTTGTCACCCAGCATCACACAGGACTGAACCTGTCACACAGGCTAGAGCTGGCAGTACCTGGGGTCACTGGCCCAGCCCCCTGCTTCACAGAGGAGGGCCTGGCCCGGGTCTCCAGTGTGTGGTCACGGAGAACCCAGGAGGGCAGCAGGCTCCTGGAGGGAGCGGAAGGAGGGAGGGAATAAATGCATTGGCTCTGACATTTTCAAACAGGAAATCTCACTTCTGAAGTTGTGAATGAGGGGATGAGACACGTGTAACCAGCTAGTTTTTTGGGTGGATAGTGAAGAGGCTTCACTAGGGGAAATGAAGTGATACCTTCACTAAAGTCTGTTTGGATGGGTGAAGGTGCTGGAGGAAAACCATCCCCACAGGTGGTCGGTGGGCAGTCCTCAGGACAGTCCCGCACCTGAGGGCAGACAGTGGCCAGGGGCTGATGTCCGCAGCAGTGACTGCTTACCTACCCCGCAGCTGCCTGGCTCACACTTCACTCCCCTGTGGCTTCTTGTCCGCCAGCTTTGCCCCCTTGCCTGCTGTTCTGCCCCCACTAAGAATGCCCAAGCCCCAGGGGTCTTTGGTCGACTTCGTGTCCGATCCTAGCACAGAGCCCTCGTGGACCAGTGGAGGCACCGGGGCTCGGCCGTCCTGAGCAGCCACCGCGCAGGGGCGTGCTCCTGCCCCGCAGCTGCCTGGCTGCTCTGAGCCGGGTGGCGGGTGGGGGCGAAGGCACGACCTGCCCTCGGAGGGAGAGCTTTCTGACAGTGCGAGGGCCTGGTCTGTCCGGGCTCCGGGCACGGGTTGCTAAAGGACATGGGGGACTGCGGGCACCTCGGAACTGCGTCTGTGTCTGGGGTGGCAGCCTCGGCCCGTCCCCGCGGTCCCCCGGCTGTGCTCTGAGGTGTCCCATGCAGCTCTGTCCTCTGCTTCCTTAGTGCCTGGGGGGTGTAGGGAAAATGTTTGGAGTAAACACATGGTTGAGAAATGCCATGTTCTATGTGCGGACTTGGGCCTTTAGGAAAAGCACCTGCAGCCTTGGCCTTGTTTGCAGATTGCTTGCTCATCCTTCCCAGAGCTTCACCTGCGTCGGACGAGTCTGTGGTGGGTGCCGGACAAGAGCCTGTGGAAATCTGTGTTTCTTTACGAGGCAGACTGGCCGCAGGGGACCAAGTTATTGTGGAAGGGCAAGAAGGAGGCTGGAGGCTTTCTGTCCAGCACCGATGGAAACCCTCGCACCCTGTGCCGGCCTGCCACACGGCCCGGGGGGGGGGCACTCGGCCTCAAAGCAGCGTTAGGCCTCTGGCACACAGCAGGCCTGCAGAGTGAGGAACACGAGGGCCAGTGTGCCGGCCTGCCCATCCTCAGCAGGTCAAGGCGAAGAGAGAGGGGATCTGTTTTTGGCACATCTTCAACTAATCTGAGAGGTAGAACCCTAATTCTGGGTTTGTGGAGAAATAAGAAAAGTACACGCCCCTTTATACTTTGGGTCTGAGGTCTTAGGAGTTAAACCTGAATTTTTAAAATGTGTATATATAGTCTAGAATTTTCTGAAGAGTAGTTGTGCATGATTGTCCATATTAACTTCAGCTCAACAGCAAACTTGAGGGTTATTGCTCCAGATTCTGAGCCCCACATGTGTTCTCAGCCTGGTTGCGGCTCACAGATGGCAGTGCCAGGCAGGGTGACCTGCGGCACCTCCCCTGGCTGTGCCCAGGCCGTGGCTGCGGTCTGGGCCCACCAGGGGTGTGCACAGTGGGCATTCGCTATTGTTGGGCCGCTGGGCTGGTTTCCATCCTCAGAGGGGGGCTTCTGCCATGGCTTACAGGCCTGAGATCACGTACCGCTCAGCCTTTTTGAGTTATAATTTGGACACTGTACAATTCACCGTCTGAAGTGTTCCGTTTAGTGGTTTTGAGTGTACTCACAGAGTTGTGCTGTCATCGCTGTGGCCATGTTAGAACACCAGCCCTTCCTTCAGCCCCAGCAGTCACGAGTCTGTTTTCTGTCTTTACAGGTTTGCTTATTCTGGAAATTTCACATAAACAGAATCAGGCAATATTTAGTCCTTTCTGTCTGGGTTCTTTAATTTAGCATAATGTTTCCAAGGTTCATCCATGTTGGAGCCTGTGTAAGAGCTTCAGCACTTTTTATGACTAATATTCCATCGTGTGGAGATAACACCTTTTGTTTCTCCATTCGTCAGTTGATGTACATTTGGGTTGTTTCTGTTTTTGGCTGTTGTGAACAGTGAGGCTAGGAACACGCAAGTGTAAGTGTTTGAGTGGACTTACGGAGTCAGCTCAGTGCAAGTGCAGTTGCTGGGTCATGTGTGGTTCCATGTTTGACCTTTTGAGGAATAGCCAGGCTGTTTTCCAAAGAGGCGCACCATTTTACACTCCCACCAGCAGCAGGTGAAAGTTCCAGTTTCTCCACATCTCACCAGCACTTGTTACTACCTGGCTTTTTTTTTTTTTTTTTATCCTCACCCGAGGACATTTTTCCATTTTTTGTTCAGATAGAGCGGGAGGGAGAGAGAGGAAGAGAGAGAGAGAGAAACATCGATGTGAAGGGACACATCGAGTGGCTGCCACCCGCACGACCAACCAGGGCCGGAGACAAACTGCAACCAAGGTACGTGCCCCTAGCGGGAACCGAACCCGGGTCTCTCTGGACCGCAGGCCGACGCTCTAACCGCTGAGCCAAACCGGCCAGGGCCTACCTGGCTTTTTGATACTGAATTCTTGCAGTTGTTTTATGATTATTCCCAGTGTCACTCGAACCTGGAAGGAATATGTGTTTTGGTCCCTGAATGTGCTGCGTTACGTAGCCAGGCAGCCGTGAGGTCGCCCAGAGGTGCGTGGGTGCCGCCGGCCTGTGCAGGAACCCCCACGCAGCACCTTTTTGTATCCTCTTAAGTATCAGGCTGTGCAGTGGGTTTAGGTGTTCTCCTCTGCAGCCGTGTGAGTCCATTCACCGTTCCTGCGTTTTCATTCCGTCGCTCCTCCACCAGGGACCTGGAAGCCAGAGCGCAGAACGAATTCTTCCGGGCGTTCTTCAGGGTGCCGAGGCGGGAGAAGCTGCACACTGTCGTGGACTGTTCCCTGTGGACGCCGTTCAGTCGCTGTCACACCGCCGGGAGGATGTTCACCTCGGACAGTTACATCTGCTTTGCCAGCAAGGAAGACGGCTGCTGCAGCGTCATCCTGCCCCTCAGAGAGGTGGGGAGGGCCCTGCCGCCGGGGGCCCACAGCCGGGAGCTCACCGCAGGGCCTCGCCAGCTAAGGATGGCGTCTGGAGGGAGGCATGGCCTGATTTTGACCATTACCCATTTGGCTGTTGCTTTTCTGTTGTTGCTGTGGCAACCTGAAATTTGTGTGAGTGATTGGTGAGCGCAGGGCACGCGTCCCCCACCCTGTGGTCAAGTTTCATTTACGGCTTCATGGCAGCCCGCACCCGCCCCTCACCCACAACGGGAAGAGAAACAAGGCTGAAAGCATCCTATTTCAAAATAAATGTCAAATTGCTTGGCTTTTATACCGTCCTGAAACTTTAGCTAAACATTTAAAAATGCTTCCTGTCGTATGGACCAGGCCCCTCCCCACTGTGAGAATCGCGAGTGTCCTCTTGGAGACGGGAGCAGCGCGTCCCTGCTGCAGGGCCCGCCGCTCTGTGCACTGCGGCCCAGTCCTGTCTGACCTGCTGAGCACTGTTCTTCCGAAACACGGACTTTTCCTCCTGTGACCTCCTCCCCGTGTCCTTTAGCAGATGTTGTCATCTCACAAGTATTCTCGCTTGAGAGAGGAGGAGGAAATCCAGTCATTGTCCTATACACTCACTTTTAAATTGTGATGATATGTACATCGCAACATTGACCTTTTTGCATTAAGGATTCGTATTGCTGTGCAGCCACCTACAGTTGCCTCTCGCAAATGAAACCCTGTCAGGGCCCCCCTCCCCCGCCCCAGCAGCTGCCATCTGCTTCCTGAGTGTGTGAGTTTGGCGACTCTGGGCTCCTCAGTATCCGCCTGCAGTGACTGCTCATGTCACGTGTGATGCCTCACAGTGCGTCCGTGTGTCAGGGCATCTTCTTTGAAGGCTGAGTGGTGGTCTGTGGTGGACAGACGGCACCTGGTGTGTCCACGCATCCACCGAGGGACACTCGGGTGGCGTCCACCTTCCAGCTGTTGTGAACAGCCTTGCGTACTTGGCACCTTTGCACCATCCCTCATTGTGGTGGTTTGTCTGGCCTCTGTCTTGGGACATTTTTGACTATGTAATTAAATGCCTGCTTCCCTCTTCTTGGCTGTACCTTGTGCCACAGGTGGTGAGCATCGAGAAGATGGAAGACACGAGCCTGCTGCCCAACCCCATCATCATCAGCATCCGGAGCAAGATGGCCTTCCAGTTTATTGAGCTCAAGGACAGAGACGCCCTGGTGGAGTGTCTGCGTGTCAGGCTGCAGCAGGTGCACGCCGACCGCCCTGCGCGTTACCACAGCTCGTGTGAAGAGGACGTGGTATGGCCCTCAGCACAGTGGGTCCACATGGCGGACACCCCTTCCCCAGCACCTCCAGGGCGCTGTTCTCCAAAGGGCAGAGGATGGTGGTCCACGTGGGCACAAGGAAACATGTCACAGAGTCTGGGTCTCTCTGGGTCGGTCTGGAGCCATCTCCACACACCAGCGTCCTGTGTAGGTGCCACAGCTTAGAAGGCTCCATGCAGATGAGAGGGGTCCATAGATCTATACCCCACAGGTCAGAGGGGCTGACCAGCACTTCACTCGCAGGTTAGAAGGGTCAGGGCCCCGCCCCCTCAGGCTGGAAGGGATGGTGTTGTTTGGGGGCAGGTGTAACTGGCCAAAAGACAGATGTCATTGTCTTTGAGGGTGGACAGCTGCAGAAACGGACCAGGTCTGCTGGGACCTTCTTTCCTGTCCTGGCACCCCGTCCCTCTCTTTCTCCACCTGTCCTCACTCAAAGTGACAGGAGGACAGGCGACGGTTTCCAGTGCCCTGTGCTGCTCCCTACAGAGGGTCCTGCTCCAGTGCCCTGTGCTGCTCCCTACAGAGCGTCCTTGGCAGTTCTGGAAGCTGTGTCTGAGTGTGAGCAGTGTGCTCTCCTTGTCCCCGCTGGCCTGTGCGCTGGACACCTTGAGCAGTCACAGTGGACAGCACAGCGTGGACCATGTTTCTTCCTGAGGATCACATCCATTGGGCCTCATGTCTGCTTTTCCTTTGCGTCGTAAACAGACGTGTTTGAGTCGGCTGTGCTCACCCCCCAGACGCACACGTAGTGTCCTGTCATTGACTCTGCCTTCTCTGTTCACATCTCCATGCAGATGGCTCATGTGTTCCCTTCAGCAAGCGTGTGCGGTGACCACAAGTTTGAGGATCTTGCAATGGTGTCTTCTCAGGACAGCGAGGACGGTGAGGAAGGGAAGAGCCCCCTGCTGCGCCTGGAGGCGCGGAGAGCTGTCTTGCAGCCGTCCAGCAGCCAGAGCCCTGACCTGCGAACGGTGGGTGTCCACTCTGCCTGGCCGGGCACGCGTAGAGTGGGCACGGGTGCGGCTGCCCAGCGGTCCGGCCCACAGAAGAGCCCAGCATTTAGGAAGGCAGGTGTGGTGCCCGTTGCCAGGGAGCCTGGAGCAGCGAGCTCCCACCTTGGCTCACTGACCCAGAGGGGAGGGGTTCGCTGGCACCGCTGCCAGGGCACCCCGGGCGTGTGAGGTGCAGTCACACCGGAAGGTGGGTGGCTCTCCCTCCTGCCCCGACCTGGGAGCTGCTGGTGCTGTCTCTGTGGGTTCTCCAGCAAGGTCTCTCCTTTTATCCCGGGGTACCTGTGTGCCTCTTTTCACAGGGCCTCTTTTTGTATCTTCTGGGACAAAGAGTCTCCTATTCTTGTGTTATTGAACTAAAACCATTTTTGTTACATTTCAGTAGTTTTCATCTTTAGGGGGAGGATCTGAGGGAAGTGTCATTTGAAGTCGGTAACTGGAGGAGAGGCTGTGCTTTGAAATGGCCTTGGCAGGTGCGCAGCTCTGTGACCCAGAGAACCGGGGTGGCCATGGACGTCCTGCCCGCTGCGCCTGGGCCGCCTCGTGGCTGCGTCATGGCTGATCGGGAGCTTGTCCACTCAGCACTGAGCCTTCCCACGGGCTCTGCAGAGATGCTCAGTGAACTTGTGGACTAGACATGTAAAAACATGGGATGCATGTGTCAACTTCTCCCATTACTGGAGGAGATCATTAAAAGCATTTATAAACATCTTATTTAAAAGGAACTAAAAATTTCTGCCCCTAGAGATAATTTTCGAGGATCTCTAATGGCCTTGAGAAATACCATCTTGTTTCTGACAGTGACAGCAGTGTAATTTTTTCAGGTTTCAGTTTTTGTTTTGGCTGCCGGGAAGCTCAGGGCAAATTCTGATCCACCCTTGTTCCCCTTTGCCCTCTGAGCGGACCTGTGTTTCAGCAGCTGGCTCGGTGTCCGCATCCTGTGAGCCCCCCGCCCCCATCTGCTTTGGGTCATGTTACTATTGGGACATGCGTTTTCTTCCACCCCCTTTGCCCAGGAAGTGTGCCCACTGGGCTCCGAGCTCCTGTGGGCTGCTGTGCCGTTTCCTCCCTGTCCTCACCCAGGAGAGGCTCAGAGCCCCGCTGTGTGCACGGAGGCCTGCGCCGTGCCTGCCTGGGCTCCTAGTGTGGGGCTGTGGTGGAAGTGCAGGCGGCTCTTTGTACATTAAGGCCATTTCCGTTTCTAGTCCAGAGAGCAGATCAAAACCAGCCTGTGGAATGACCACTTTGCGGAGTATGGCAGGACTGTGTGTATGTTCCGCACAGAGAAGATCCGGAAGCTGGTGGCCATGGGGATCCCCGAGTCTTTACGTGGCCGACTCTGGCTGCTGTTCTCAGGTGAGTGTCTGGTGCTTGAGGCCAAATGTGACTCTGGAGCGGACGCAGGAGCCGAGACTGCGGTCTGAGGGTGTGCACCAGCTGTCTGCCTTGGCTCCTTCCAGGACGTTCCCCCCGCCTGGCACAGCGGTGGGCCTCGGGCAGGGCTGTCCCGTCAGTGCGAGGTCTGGCTCACGTGATGTTGTCACCTCTGAAAACGGCTGAGTCCATACGTAGTCCTGAGAATTCTGTTAAGAACTAACCCTTGGAAGGGAAGTGGCTTTGAAAGGCATGAGTTCTTGGATAGACTAAACAAACATGTTCTGTCGAACGGTGTTGAAATAGATTCCTCAGCACACTTTCTGTGGCCCCTCCTCCTGTGAGGTTCTCTTCTGCCCTGTGTTCCTCCTGGATCCTGGGACCTATTGAGTGCTGGCCTACTGGCCTCAGATGCCAGCCCCCTCCCCTGCTGCTGTTTGGCGATGTCTGGGATGCTCTGGTGAATGGGCTGAGACGGGGACCGAACTTCTCCAGAGACCCCTGAGGTGGCGTTCATCTGTATCCACAATGATCATGAGTATTTCGTCCACTTGATAGCGGAGCGGGGCGGTGAGCAGGACGCGGGCCTGCTCCTCTGGTGGTGTGACTTGGCCACTCCCCTCGGACGGCCTTGGGCCTGGTGAGGTCACTCTGCCCAGTCACTGCTCTGCTCTCACCACTCCCCCGCCTGTCTCTCTCCTGTGGCTTCTCACCCAGATCCTTCCTCCCTCCTCCTTCCCTGTCTCTCCCCCGAGGGCGTCCAGCCCATCCCCTCTCCGTGGACACCGAGTCTGAGCTTCGGGACACTGGCTGCCCTTCGGGCGGGCTGCCGACACCTGGCCGCCTCTCCCCTGCCTTGAGCTGGGTTCTGCAGCTGCCAACCAAAGACACACTATCGAAACACTTCCTTTTAAAATGAAAGTGTCTCCTGTGTTTTTATATTAAATAAAATTCCATATTCATAGTTAAAAAGAAAATAATGGAAGAGCAAGTAAAGAAATTAACATCACTCATCCTTTAGTTACCTAGAGTGATGCGTGGTCTCCAGGAGTCTTTAATGAGCGTATTTTATTTATTTTATTTTTCTATCCTTGCCCAAGGATATGTTTATTACTTTGAGAGAGAGGAGGGGAGAGAGAGAGCAAGAGGAGAGAGAGGGGCAGAGACAGGAAGAAATGTCGCCTGGCTACCTCCTGTGCGCACCCTAACCAAGGGTGCACCCTCGACCCTAGGAGAGCGCCCTCGCTGGGGACCCAGCTGGCCCCCTGGGGATAAGACACCGCCCAGCCCCCCGCTGCCCGCCTGGGCGGTGAGCATGCGCCACGCCTGCACAGTTAGCTTTCCATGTCCGTGCTTTCACGTCTGTGGGTCCGGCCAACACACGGAAAATGTTTTGGGGAAAAATCCCAGAAAGTGAAAAAGCAGCACTTGAATTTGCCGCACGCAGAGCACTGCAGATCCACGTGGTGGAGGGAGCGCAGCACGAGGCAGCGCTCCGCCCCTCTGCTCACCGTGCAGGGCCTGGTTGATTGGATGGGAAGGACTGGGCATCCATGGGTTTGGAACCCACGTCCGTGGGGGTCTTGGAACCAGCCCCACCAGCGCTGAGGGGCGACTGTGCCCGAGAGAGTGACAGCTGTTAGTACAGGTGCTGATGACCACACTGACTGCGCGCCTGTTTACGGGGTGTGTTGGCAGCCTCAGTCACTGTGGAGGGGACAGTTGGAGGAGGAGGGTTTGATACTACACCTGTCAGGATTAAAACATGAGTGGCTAAAGGCAGCCGGGCCCTTTCTGCTCCCCCTGCTCTCCTGGGACCTCTCTGCGTGGGCTGGCCGCAGTACTGGGGGACCACCTGCCCCCAGCCCCCGAGGGAACTCTGGCCGGTGAGTGACCAGGACCCTTGGGTGGCGCCGGTTCCCTCGTCCCCGGCGTCTGCTGTCAGAGGTGGGACAGCGTGGCCGGGGGGGAGCTGTGTGGTCGCCCTACAGTTTCCTGCTGGCTCCTTAAGACTTGTCACCATCACGAGTCATAGTGGCACCTTCTCATGTGTGTTCCTGCTGAGTTAAGGCATGAAAATTGTGTACGTGTGCATGTGTACATGTGTATACACATACATGCACTCTTACTAGGGAATACAACTTATGAAGACCATATTAATAAGTATTTCTAATATGAGCTTTTTCTCTTTATATAAGGTCATTCTTAGAAAAGCTATGTTCTTTTTGTTTTGGGTAGAAATGAAGTCCTTTTGGTTGTGTGTGGTCCCAAAATATTTCATGTTCCTCAAGTAATGAGACCCTACTGAGGTCCTCTGACAGGACAGCCCCTCCGTGTGACACTGCCCTGGTAGTTAATCTCTTGAATAATTACTTTTTAAAAATATGTTCTTATTGGTTTTTTTTTTTTTAGAGAGAGAGGAAGGGAGAGATGGAAACATCCACGTGAGAGAGAAACATCCATCAGCTGCCTCCTGCACGCCCCTCCTGGGGATCGAGCCTGCAGCCAGGCCATGTGCCCTGATTGGGGATTGAGCCCGGACCTCTCAGTCCATGGGACGACGTTCAGCCCACTGAGTCACACTGGCCAGGCCTTGAACAATCACTTTTAAACCAGCAGATGCTGTCACCGATCTCGCCTCGCATCCCGGGTACTATGGCGAGCTGGTGGAGGAGTCCATGGGAAGGTGCTGCCTGGTGACAGAGGAGATAGAACGGGACCTGCACCGTTCCTTACCAGAGCACCCCGCCTTCCAAAACGAAACGGGAATTGCTGCTTTGAGGAGAGTCCTGACAGCCTATGCCCACCGGAACCCCAAAATTGGGTACTGCCAGGTGAGGTGTGCACAGAGGAACAGACTATTTAGTCCACATCTTGTGTGGGCTGCCCAGGCCTCCGGCTCTGTGTTCAGGGCCATCTGGCACCGGGACTGCACCTGAAGGCTCTGTGCTTGGTCTCTTCCCCTAAAGAGTGTATTGAATGTGGCCAAAGGGAATTGTTGTCATGGAGTTGGGCAGGCTGAGCCCTGGGGATCAGAAGCCTCCCAGGCCCGAGCAGAGACCTCCTGCTGAGCTGAGCGGGGGGGGGGGGGGGGGGGGGGGGGGCGCCATCTGTGAGCCTCTGGCCTCCGCCTTGACAGAGGGGAGCGTCTTTTCAGACCCTAGAACCGACAGAGGGGAGCGTCTTTTCAGACCCTAGAACCGACAGGGATTCGTTTTAAAATGGCTGTGCTATTTGGGGAGGAAAGAGACGTTTGGGGCTGATCACTTCCTTCAGAAAACTCCCTCCACTGCACGAGTGTCGGTGTGGTCGGTGCCCTGATCTTGACTTCTGTAGGTCATTCGGCCTTGTGTGCTTTTTAACATCTGTGTGGCCCCATGTGGTCGGGTCCGTGACTGTCCGCTCCTCTACCCGAGCAGTCCATGAACATCCTGACGTCGGTCCTGCTGCTGTACGCCAAGGAGGAGGAAGCCTTCTGGCTGCTGGTTGCCGTGTGTGAGCGGATGCTCCCTGACTACTTCAACCACCGAGTCATTGGTAAGCTGCCCCTCCCCTGTGCCTGGGCAGCGGCGGTTGTCCAGTCCCGGGCCTGACCGCCGTGGGCTCCGGGACTCGCAAAGCCAGCTGGTGTGAATCCTGCAGTTTGACAGAATGATGGAAGCTGGTAGCCTGATAACTCTCTTGCTACAAGCACAGATTTTGGATAAAAACAAACAAACAAACACTATTTTACGTAAATAGCTGAACTCACACGAAGGAAAGAAAAATTCAAGGCTCAAGAAACAAGTTGAAAAGTGAAAACCAGAGAGGTTTTTCACTGATGCTGTGGCCTGGAAAAGTGTGGGCAGCTCGGGGAGACAGGAGAGGAGGTGAGGGGAGAGTGCTGGAGACGCACATCCAGGCCCTGACCTGAGGGCAGGCTTGGGAGCACCCCACTTGCACGGGCTGATAGAGCGCTCGCTGCTGCTGCCTGGCTCGGGACAGACCTGTGACCCCACGGTACTGAAGCACTCGGCGTCTCTGTCTTCCGTGTGGTTGACATTTGAATTTGCACCACGTCTGTGGTCCGGCAGCTGTCTAGTGGAGAAAATGACACAGAAATTGCTTTGCTGATGCTCTCCAGGGCACCTCTCAGTAATCCAGAGTCGTGTAAGTTTCTGTGTGAATGCTACATGCTGTCAGTTTTCTTCAGTATTTACCTAGGAGTAGAATTGCTGGGTTATAGGTTAGTTTTATGTTTAACTTGATAAGAAACTGTCAGTTTTTCAAGCATATGTAATGTAGACACATATCTGGTCCAAATCAGCAGTGGGAGTGAGTTCCGGTGGCCCCGCACCCTTGCCGACACCGGGACCTCGGCCGTCCAGTGGGCAGGAAGTGCTGTGTCTGGTTTTAGTTTGCAGTTCTCTGATGATGGATGATGTTGAACATAAATGTTTGTTCTTACTGGCCATTGGCTTATTGTCTCTTTTGAAGAGTGTGTTCAAATCTTTTGCCTATTTAAAAAAATTTTTGGTTACTGACCTCTTATTACTATGTTGCAGGAATTCTTTATTTTGAATACAAGGTCTTTGACAGGTATACTTATTGCATATATTTACTCTGAATTTGAAGTTTGCATTTTCATCTTATTAATGCTATCTTTAGAAGAACATGTCTTTAATGTTGATGAAGTCTAGTTCATTATTTTTTCTGATTGGTGCTTGTATCCTAAGGAATTTTGTCTTTTTCCTGTATTTTATTTTAGAAGTTTTATAGTATTAGCTTTTATATTTAGGTTTGTGACACATTTGAAATATATTTTTCTGTTGTGAAGTATACAGATATGCACTAGACTGAACACTACTTTTTGAAAACACTATCCTTTCCCATCGAATTACTTTGTTCAAAATTCCAACACCAGCGAGCTCAGTGTGAGTCCTTCTCTGTGCTCAGATTCTGGTCCCTGTTCTGTGACCTCAGAGCAGTTTCGATTCCAGGCTAACTTTGGAGTGTGAGTCCCTCCCACCAAGTGGCCTTCCTTCTCCAGGGGCCCAGGTGGACCAGTCCGTGTTTGAGGAGCTGGTCAGGGAGCACCTCCCCGAGCTGGCGGAGCACCTGCAGGACCCCGCGGCCCTGGCGTCCGTCTCTCTCTCCTGGTTCCTGACTCTGTTCCTCAGCATCATGCCCCTGGAGAGTGCAGTGCACGTCGTCGATTGCTTCTTCTACGATGGGATCAAAGCCATCTTCCAGCTGGGGCTCGCTGTGCTGGAGGCCAACACCCAGGACCTGTGCAGCAGCAAGGACGACGGCCAGGCCTTGATGGTCCTCAGCAGGTGGGCTTTGGCTGCTCTGTGGTGCTGGCCGGGGATGAAGCGTGATGACCCCAGGAGGAGGCAGCAGCAGGTGCCCAGGAGGGCTGGTGCTGTGGAGGTTGCCTTCCACGCTGCCGTTTGTCACCTGGAGCCCATCCGTCAGGTGGCACTGTTGTCCCGGTGTGCGAACAGTGCCATCTCCCTCCCTTCTGTCAGCCTTCCCTCCGAGGAGATTCAAGGGTCTTGAGTCTAGACGGACTCGCAGGGGCCTTGCATGGGGGCAGGCGGCCACGGGAGCTGCGGGCTCGCCTGCTGACAGGCCCCCTTCAGGATGTTGTGGGAGCTCCGAGCTGCACGTGTGCTCTGACTCGTGCATGTGCTTCCCTGGGGTCACAGAGCCCGAGAGCTGCTGTGGGCCTCGACCACAAGTCTGGCGTCACGGACGCCTCTCCTCTTCTCGAAAGCAAGCGCGCTGGTGGCTCCCTGGCCCTCCCGGTGTCTGCAGACGCAGGCTGTGTGGGAGAGTGCTGTGATGTGGCTCTGGCCAGGTGAGTGTCAGTCTGTGCTTGAATGCTGGTCGTGTGCTCAGGTTTCTAGATCACATTAAGAACGAGGACAGCCCCGGACCCCCAGGTGGCAGCCACCATGCCTTTTTCTCCGACGACCAGGAGCCCTGCCCTGTGACAGACATTGCTGACCTGATCCGGGACGCCTATGAGGTAGCGGGGCTGTCCCGCCCCACCCCCCGGGGAGGTTGGGCTGCTGCCTGTGCCATGCACACAGTCTGTGAGTGCGACCTTGTCTCCCCGCAGAGATTCGGGGGCCAGTCTGTGGAGCGCATCGAGCGCATGCGCTGCAGGCACAGGATTCGGGTCCTCCAGGGCCACGAAGAGACCACGAAGCAGAACGTGGTGAGTGCAGGCCCCCTCAGCATGGCGGCCTGTGGCAGGCAGGTGCTGACTGGGTGTGTCCTGTTGGTCTCCCACATGACACGGCCAGCTTGCTGCCCCAGCCAGTGGCTCGGCTGGTTGGAGCGTGTGGTACACCAAAAAGGATTGCGGGTTCAGTTCCTAGTCAGGGCACAGACCTAGGTTGCGGGTTTGATCGCTGGTTGGGGCACGTTTGGGAGGAAACTGATCGGTGTTTCTCTCTCTCTCCTCCCCTTCCTCTCTCTCTAAAATCAACAAGCATGTTCTTGGGTGAGGACTAAAGAAGAACACCAGCATTCTTTTTCTGTTGATTTAAAACGTAACAGTGGTGACATGGCGCAGCGTGAGTTTTAGGGTCAGACTGTGAGCAGATTGCCTGCATGGAGCTCCGGTCCCGGCGATGGGGGCAGCGACCCCGCAGCGGGGTCGCAGGAGGTGGTGTGGCGATGCCCAGCGCACTGCGTTCTGCTGGCCTCGGAGGCGCTGGCCCCGCTGTCTTTGTCGGTGTTGAACGTCCGCAGGCACCGGAAGCCCTTTGTGTGACTTAGCGGGACTGAGCGTGAACACAGAGACAGTCCCGTGAAGGGGTCTGTGTGTCAGAGGACACGCTGCTGCCACAGAGACGAAATTTGGTGCTCGCGCCTGTGTCCCACACCCTCGAAGAGCCCGCTGTCCCTGCGCCTCCAGGTCCGACAGCGGACTCACTCCTTTGCTGTTTGTTCTTTCCTCCAGCTCCGTGTGGTCACCCCAGAAGTCTCATTTCCCCTTGAGGACCTCGAGGAACTCTACGACTTATTCAAGGTATAGAAGTCTGGGAAGGTGAGGCTGTGCCAGGCCCTGAGCAGGCCCAGGCCAGAGTGGTCAGCCTGCCTGGGGCGAGGTGTGGGAGCTGGGGCTCTGCCCCGTGCTCGCTCTGGGACAGCCAAGCTGCAGCTGCCTGCTGGCGGCCTACCCGCACCGTGCTCTGCTGCCCCGCACTGCGTCCCCGTCAGTGAGCCGAGTGGTGACCCTGGAACTGTACTGCACACATCTCTGTTCCTTAGAGCTCAGCCACAGGGCGTTACACACACTTCTCCTCATGTGGCTGTGGGCACAGTAGTTCATGTTGCCACAGCCATCATCACTTTTAAACGGTCTTATAATCTTACATATTGGTAATAATATGTTAAACCCTATTTCTAATATTTGGATATTTAGATAGATTCTCAGATCTTGCTACTTAACTCACACTGCAAAGAACTTTTTCAAGTTTCTTGCTAGATTTCATGCTCGAAACAGTAAATAAAAATGAAGAAGACAGGCTGACACACTGACCCACTGCTGACTGACAGCCCGCCGTGAGGGGAGGAAGACAGGCTGACACACTGACCCACTGCTGACTGACAGCCTGCCGTGAGGGGAGGAAGACAGGCTGACACACTGACCCACTGACCCACTGCTGACTGACAGCCCGCTGTGAGGGGAGGAAGACAGGCTGACACACTGACCCACTGACCCACTGCTGACTGACAGCCCGCCGTGAGGGGAGGAAGAGTGCAGGCAAAGCGAGCTGGGTAGCCAGGAGGTGCCCCCAGAGCTGGCCCTGCCAAAGTTGCGAACGAACGAGAAGCAGCCTTTCGGTTAGATGGTTGCCGGGCCCTGTGAGTGCTGGTCATGCATGTCTCTGCAGTCACCAGCAGGATTGCGGGGTTTTGGTTTCCGGACTCATTCACAAGAAGCAGGGTGTGTGGTGAGGACTCTTCACACCTTGTTTTCTGTAAACAAGACCTGTTTTCAGGTTTTATAGTTTTCTCTGTTGCATGAAGAGAAAGTACAAAGTCAAAGGTTACTTGGTGTCCCAAGCCCTCTGACTGTCAAGAAGGAAAAGTAGGGAACACTAAAAGAATAAAGCATGTAAACGAATGTATTATTTAGCATATAAAATCTTTCTTTTATTTAGGGTTAAGTAGTCTCAATTTGAGAGAATAAGACACATCACAAATCTGAATTTCTTTAATTTAAAAGATTGCTTTAAATTTATATTTCAATAAGTAAAAACCATGTCACTCACTTTTAATATAAAGAGTTTTAAAGAAGATAGAGCTGACTGTTCTCATTTCCTGTTTCTGTCTTTCTCATGAAGGACATGATCGGTACGTAATGAAGTTTATTTTCATATTTGTAGTTAGCCCTGTAGGTCTTTCACATTTGTAGGACTAACTACAAATATACGCTTAAAAACTACAAGCACAAGATGCCACACCTGCAGAAGAGCATGCAGTGGACAGTGGCAGTCACGAGTCTGGGTCTGTCCCATAGCCCAGGCGCCCTCTGTGCACCGCCAGCCTCTTCCCCTAGGTCCACGGCAGCGTCACGCTCCACGTCTCAGCCCTCCCAGAGGTCCTTTCCCCAGGCCTCCTGACCCCCAGTGTCCTTGGCTTTCACAGTGAGCGTCTCATGTTTCCACACTTAAGTGCTGTGGGCACAATGCTCTCACTGGATTGTCATGACATCTTGTCTTTTGAATCAGAAATTTATTTTCTTAAGGGAAAGGTCCTGGAAGAGATGCCCATACTTCGTTCTAAGATACCCATTACATAAATACGTGATAGGTTGTTAATAAGGGTCCATTCCTTTCCTTTACGGCGTCCTCTCCAAGCCTGGATGTGCAGATGTGACCATGTTCTATGTTAACAAGACATAGTCAGGTCTGATTGTCATCTGTACATACCCTTTCCTATTAAAGATGAGCAGTGTGGTTGGTATTTAATGAAAATTATTTTTATTGTTAATTTAAAGCAATCTTTTTTATCCTTTTTTTTCCTATCTTCACCCAAGGATATTTTTACATTTTTCTCCAGATAGAGTGGGAGGGAGAGAGGGAGAGAGAGAAACATTGATGTGAGAGGGATATACATTGATTGGTTGCCACCCACATGACCCCAACTGGGGCCAGGATGAACCACAACCAAGGTACCAAGGTACATGCCCTTGGCTGGAATCGAACCCAGGGCTCTTTCGTCTGCGGGCTGACACTAACCAATGAGCCAAATCAGCCAGGGCTTTTTTATCCTTTAATGCAATTCTTTTACTGCCTTTCATTTTTATTGAGATGTAATTTACATAAAAGGTGTGCAGCATAGCCTGGCCCATGTGGCTCAGTGGATTGAGTGTCGTCCTGTGCACCAAGAAGCCACTGGTTCAATTCCCAGTCAGGGCACATGCCCAGGTTTCCAGCTTGACCTCCAGTAGGGGGCGTGCAGGAGGCAGCCGATCAATGTTTCCATCTCTCTCCCTCTCCCTTTCTCTCTCTAAAAATCAATAAAAACATATTTTTAAAAAGGCACACAGCATGATGACTCGCCTTACATTGCACTGTGAAGTGCTCACCACAGTGAGTTAGTTAACATCTATCTTCTATGGATGAAACAAAGAAAATGTGTTTTTTTCTGTTAGGGCCCGTCCTCTCAGTAGCTCGCAGACGCACCGCAGAGCAGTGTTGGCGCTCGCCCACTCCCTGTGCCACATGCGTGACCTGTTTCTATGCGTTTCTGGGTTTCATTTTTATATTTTTTTAATCCTCATCTGAGGATATTCCTCTATTTATCTTCAGATAGAGTGGGAGGGAGGAAGGGAGAGAGAGAGAGAGAGAGAGACATTGATGTGAGAGAGACACGTCAATTAGTTGCCTCCCGCACGACCCCAACCAGGGCTGGGAACGAACCACAACCGAGGTGCGTGCCCTTGAATAGATTCGAACCCACGACTCTTTGGTCCGCAGGCAGACACTTCAACTGCTGAGCCAAACCGGCCAGGGCTGTTGTTTTGTTTCATAGATTCCAATGTGAGATCATATGGTATTTGGTTTTCTCATTGGACTCACTTCACTTGGCATAATACCCTCTAGGTCTACCCATGCAGTCTTCTACATTACATAAGTTCAGATTTGTGACATCCACCTCCTAACCTCTTGGATAGAGAACAGCTGCATTAATCTTCTCTCTCCAAGTGAGACGTGGCCAGTGGGCACATCCTGGTGTTACTGGCTCGTCCTGGACAGCCCGGCCCGCAGCGAGCCTCCTGGACTCGATCGACCTGCTCGTCTTGCTGATCAGTTAGTTACATCTGTTCACTGTGGCTGGTTATTAGGCCCCAGAAAGCATTTGCTCTTTTTAATATTATTTTTTTTGCCATCATATTTTGGTTAAGACCTTTAAATTTAATAAAAAAATGCAAAACATAGATCTACTCTGACCATTGAAAAAGAAAAAGAAAACTTCAAGCAAAGACGTGAAAGGACCTCCTGACGCCTGGGCCTCCCACCCTGCCCTGTGCAGGTGGCCGTGGCCACGCCGCGGCCCTTCCCGACTCCCCCGTGCGTCTCCATGAGCACACACTCTTACTCCTTTCTTCCACACAAAAGTGCGATTATGCTACGCATAATGGCCTGAAATGTTTTGTCATGGACATTTTTCTAAATCATTATCTACAGCTCTTTGTCATTCTTTTTTTCTGGTCATTCTTTTTTAATGGCTGCACAATTTCATTGTAGGGTGGAATCGCTCGTAATTTACGAACATCCAGGACGTTTACGTTGTTTTCCGTTGCTGCCGCTTAATGAGCAGCACTGTGCCGAGTGGACACCCTTCGCCCTTCTCAGCGCAGGGCCACTGCTTCTGTGCCATGGGCCTTGCGGTGTGCAGATCCGGTCCCAGCCAGTGCTGTTCAGAGTGTGCAGATTTTCCAGGTTTCAGTTTCAGGGGTGATGTCTGAGTGCCCGTTTCCTGCAGCCCACACCCACCAGCATGTGATATTACGAATCTTTGGAGATCTTTCTAATCTTATAGAAAACTCTTTTCATTTTTTAAAATATTTTTTCTTTATTGATTTTAGAGAGAGGGGAAGGGAGAAGGAGAGAGAGACGGAAACATCGATGAGAGAGAACATCGACTGGCCACCTCCTACATGCCCCCCGCTGGGGATCAGGCCCACAACCTGGGCACGTGCGCTGACTGGGAATTGAACCAGCAAACTCTTGGTGCGTGGGTCGGCACTCAACGACTGAGCCACACCAGCCGGGAGAAAACTGTATTTTCATTTAAAAATGTTCAGTCATTAGTGAGGTTGAGTACCATTCTAGAAGTTTATTGTACTTCTTTGTATCACCTGTTCACCTCCTTTGCCTGTGTTTATATTGGTTTGTGTTCTGTAGGATTCTTTTAAACTGTTTGGACCAGTCCTTGGCTTATGCAACTGTTTTCTTCTGACGGGATTCTGTGGCCTTTAGCGCACAGGCTGCACAAGTATACTTGGAAATTTGTTTTGTGTCTTGGGTTTTCAGGACTGGAAATTCATTAGACCTTTGTGGTACTTTCCACACTTCTGCAAAGGCTGCATTGAAAGAACGTGGCTGCCGTGAATAGGACAGTAAACTCACAAATGGCTTTTTGGTTTCTATCCCAGATGGAATGTGCGCTTACATAGTACAGCATTGGCACGTGTCTGTGCCATCCTGATGGGCAGAGGCGCTGGCACTGTGAGAATCTGTAGTTTGGGGATCCATTCCAAAGGGCTGATAGCCCAAGGGTGCTTCATGTGGGTGCAGGGTGTTCTGAAGAAGCTCATCTGACCCTCAGTGACAGCCAGTTTTGACTGCTTTTGTTTTCAGTTTGTTACCAAGACTTTTTCAAATCATCTTTGTTTTTCACTTTTAATTTTTTGAATTTTTAATATATTCATGTGGTTCAAAATTCAGAACATATGAAAAAAGTATGCAGTAAAAAGGCCTGCTTCCACCTTTGGGTCCCTTCCCACATTTTCCCTCCTGGCAGGTGACCAGTGTTGATGGTTTCTTTGTATCTATAGCTGTGGCTACTACTTTTTGATTTTCAAGTAGGACCTGAAGAGAAAATACCAGATTAAAAGTTGCATGTCATCTATAGTTAAAACCATGGCAGCTAAACTGTACATTTAAAAATGGTTAAAATGGTAAATCTCATTATATATATTTGCTACAATGAAAAAAACCCTCACCCGGCTGTTGTGGCTAAGTGGTTGAGCATTGACCCATGCACTAAGAGGTTGCGGGTTCGCTTCCTGGTCAGGGCACATGCCGAGGTTGTGGGCCCGATCCCCATTGAGAGGCATGCAGGAGGCGGCCAATCGATGTTCTCTCTCATCAGTGTTTCTCTCCCTCTCCCTTCCCTTCTCTCTAAAATAAAAATAAAAAAATAAAACTTAATAAAAAAAAGATGTCAAAATTACACATTAATGTAGCAACAAGGAAAACTTTTACATGTCTGATGAGAGTGGTGGGACTATAATTTTTTCCATTTGTTCGTGTTGTAATGTTGCTTCTTCAATACAGCACAGTTTCACAAGGCTGAGTAAGCCCTTGAGGTCACAGGAGCCTTGGCATCCAAGTGCTGCCATCTCACAGACCCTCCCCTCCTGTTTCAGAGAGAGCACATGCTGAGCTGCTACTGGGAACAGCCCTGGCCTGTGGCCTCTCGCCACGACCCCAGCAGGCCCTACGCTGAGCAGTACCGCATAGATGCCCGGCAGTTTGCACACCTGTTTCAGCTCGTCTCGCCGTGGACCTGTGGGGCCCACACACAGATCCTCGCCGAAAGGGCATTCAGGCTTCTGGATGACAACATGGACCATCTCATCGAATTCAAAGCATTTGTCAGCTGTCTCGGTATGACTGTTGATTGCAGCGAGTAGACTGGGGATGTGTCTTTGGACACCGTATGAAGTGGGTTGTGTAGTGGGCAGATCCAAACAATAGAATGTATTTGTGATTAGCCTGACATGACTCTGGGGTTTTAAAAATCACTTTGCAGACTCCTCTCCTGACTGTTTTCAGGCTTCCTTAAGGGGACAGAGTACAGGCTGTTGGCACACATGGGGCCTTGCTTGGTGCCAGGGTGTGGCAGTGGCCTGTCGGAAGCTATGTTCCTAATGCTTACACATAAAATTAAACTCTTTCAAAAGGTGTGGGTCAGATAAATTCACGAGCTTAGTCACCAGTCCCCACTTTCCCACATTCTCATTGGAAGAGTGTCTGAGAGCAGGCGGGCGAGCTAGTTCTCTAGCGAGCCGGTGTCACCACAGGTGAGCTTTAACCGCTGCGTCTGCTCAGTCTCTCTCTCTGTCTCTCTTTTCAGATGTTATGTATAATGGAGAAATGAATGAGAAAATTAAACTGTTGTATAGGCTTCATATTCCTCCAGGTAAGAAATTCTGAGTAGAAAACTTTGGCTCTTTTCTGCCTTGATGTAGATCAGCTTTGTGCATGACACTCGAGTTCTTTTAAAATTTAATTTAGACTCAAAGCAACAGATGTTTCTAGCTTAGGGTTCCTGATGGCATATTTTAAGTGCTTTACTGTGTGGCCTATGGCAGTGGTTCTGACTCAAGTGGGCAGCAGAATCACCTGCAGGACTTATTAGCACACAGATCCCTGGCCCCACCCCCAAGTTCCTGACTCGCTAAGTCTGAGGACCACACCTTGTGAACCACTGGCCTGTGGAATGTATGGGGAAGCCAGACCATGGTGGCCCTAACAGATGGCTGTTTTACACGACTGTCTTTGAAGAGCATTTCATTGTAAGACATTGCTTCCTTTCAATTTGTGCAGTGGTAACCAGGAACAGGGGAAGCAGTTTTGAAACCTATGGGATCAGATTTGGTGTTAACCTTCAGGCATTCCATTGACCTTTGAAATCGATAGAGTGGATTAGGAATTCTAGGTCTCTGCACTTCAGTGCCATGGTTCTGGTGCTGGATGGGGGCCTCTGACAGAACTTACCACCAAGGGCGCCTGGGGAGGCTGCTGGGCAGTGAGGAGGTTCCCAGGGCCAAGAGAGCCTGGTGGCTTTTACAACTAACACTTGTACAGATGTTGAAAATGCACATGAGGTTCTTGAAAATGGTGGCAGAGTGAATGGAAGCTACACAGACCATCTCCCAGGACCAAACTAGAATTACAACTAAAATAAAGACAAATCATCGGGAAAAAGCAACAGAAAAGCTGCTTGCAAGGACCATCTAACCAGGGACACTGAATTGATACTGGTAGGATTGCGGAGGTGCAAGAGGGGGGTTGGGAGCCCACGGACAACAGCGGTCTTAGCTGTGAGCAGCGCCCTCAGGGTTAAACTCCCATGCGGCTCCACAGTGCAGAGGGCCGGGATAGAGCGCTAAAATACCCACAGCCACTTACCATGGGATCCAACAGAGGGAGGGTGGACTGGACTAGAACTCTGTGGGGACACTTGGGATTTGGAGGGTGCTCAGAGCTTTTGCTGAGTTGCGGCCACTCAGAACAGTGGTCATCTTACTCCTTCCTCAGAGATTCAACCCCACCCGGTGGGCCATTGAAATGCAAATTGAGATGCATTAACAACCAGCATCTGCCCCAACCTCAGAAAATCCCCTTACACTGAACACCTGAGGGAGTTTTTCATTCAACTGAGAACCCAAGGCTAATCAAGTAACCTCGACTAATAGCCTCCAGGCAAAAAGCTAGAGGATAACTCAAGTATTCCTGGGCTTGGAACTGTACCCAGGAAAGTAAGACGTGACAATGGTGTTTAACATGGGTCCTCCCACGCTCATCCAAACCCAGTACAGGGAGACACAAACAATAGAACACCAACACACAAAGGGAAAATTTGGCAGGCTCCAAAGCCCACTGAGATAGCCAAAATGGTGAAACAAATAAACAAATCCCAAATGAAAGAACAAGAGACCTCTACCAAAGATGAGATAAATGAAATGATGTTAAGCAAGCTAACAGAGCTAGAATTCAAAGCCATGATCTTGAGGAAGCTCAACAGCATGAGTAAGCACATCAACACTATGAGTAAAGACATAGAAACATTGAAATCAACCAATTGGGACTTCCAGTCAAGATGGCAGCGTAGGTAAATGCCGTATCGTGTCCTCCCACACACACATCAAAGTTACAACTAAACTACAGAACAACCATCATTCAAAACCGCCTGAAATCAAGCTGAATGGAAGTCCTACAACTACGAAATTAAAGCAGCAGCCACATGGAGACTGGTAGGAAGGGCGGAGGTGCAACGGACTGGTCCCACACCCACATGTGGCAGATAAAAATCAGGACACCTTGGCTGGGAAGATCCTCCGTGAAGACTGAGGGGTCCCAGTTCCACACCAGATGCCCTGCTCAGGGTTCCAGTGCCAGGAAGAGAAGACCCCATAACTTCTGGCTGGAAAAACCAGCAGGAACTGAGGCTCAGGGGGGCTGATGCAGCTGGAGCCCCAGGCAGCTCCTTAAAGGGCCCATGTATGGACTTATCGGACTCACTCCCTCTGAATTTGGAGGGGAGGCAGCTCGAGGGGCGCCAGAGACAGGGAGGAACTGAGCTGTTTGGCACTGGAGAGGGGGCTTTCTCCAGGACAGGTGTGCTGTCAGAGGACTTTGTTCTTTGGTGAGCCCTTCCCTGGGGTGGCAGACAGTCAACATATCTGGGACTCCAGCAACCTGGCTCACACTGGTAGCCCCACCCTGGTGATTCCCTGAGGCCCCACCCCACCCAACTTTCAGGACCACCCAAGCTGTTGCCAGTTGCTTAACCATAGGATTGGCCTGACTGGATCCTGCTTCAGGTTTTCCTAAATTCTTTCAAACAAGTAGCATCTGGTCTCAGATAGCCCCATTCCTCTTGTAAAGTAATACACAAAAACAAACACAGGGAGGCACCCAAAATGAGGAGACAAAGAAACAGGTCCCAAATGAAAGAACAGAATAAAACCCCAAGAAAAGAACTAAGTGAAATGAAAATAAGCAACCTAACAGATGCTGAGTTCAAAATACTGCTTCTAAGGATGCTCAATGAACTTAGTGAGGGCCTCAAGAGCATAAAAAAGGACCAGTCAGAAATGATGGATGCACAGTCAGAAATGAAGGAGGCATTAACTGAAATAAAGAATAATTTACACAGATTCAGTAGTAGAGTACGTAAATCCAAGAAGCAAACCATAGATTTGGAATATAAGGAAGCAACAAATGCCCAATCGGAACAGCAAAAAGAATAAAAAAAAAATGAGGATAGTGTAAGGAGCCTCTGGGACAACTTCAAGTGTGCCAACATTCGCATCTTGGGGGTGCCAGAAGGAGAAGAGAGAGAACAAGAAATTGAAAAGCTGTTTGAAATAATAATGGCAGAAAACTTCCCTAACTTGGTGAAGGAAACAGACATACAAGTCCAGGAAGCACAGAGAGTCCCAAACAAGATGAACCCCAAGAGGCCCACACCAAGACACATCATCATCAAAATGCAAAAGGTTCAAGACAGAGAGAATCTTAAAAGCAGCAAGAGAAAAGCAGTTAGTTACCTATAAGGGAGTTCCCATAAGGCTGTCAGCTGATTTCTCAAAAGAAACTTTGCAGGCTATAAGGGAGTGGCAAGAAAAATTCAGAGTGATGAAAAGCAAGAACCTACAACCAAGATTACTCTATCCTGCAAAGTTGTCATTTAGAATCGATGGCAATATAAAGAGTTTCCCAGACAAGAAAAAGTTAAAGGAGTTCATCATCGCCAAGCCATTATTATATGAAATGATGAAGGGTCTTTTTGAAGAAAAAGATAAAATATATGAACAAACAAAATGGCAATGAATACATATCTATTGACAATTGAATCTACAAACAAAATGAACAGGCAGAGCAGAAACATTCTCATAGATACAGAGAACATTTTCTTGGTTGCCAGATGAGAGGGGGGTTGGGGGAATGGGTGGAAAAAGTGAGGGGATTAAGAAGTCCAAATTCATTGCTAGACTGACAAACCTCAAAGGGAAAGGGGTTGGGGGTGGGAAGAAATAAACCAAAGAAGTTATATGCATAACCAATGGACATAGACAATAGTGTGGGAAAAGGCGGGAGGGGGGCGGGAGTGGGGAGGAAGGAGTCAATGGAGGAAAAATGAGGAGCATATGTAATACATTCAACAATAAAGATTTTAAAAAATAAATAAATAAATAAATAAATAAATAAATAAATAAATAAATAAATAAAATCAACCAATTGGAAATTTAAAAACACCAAGAAGAAATGAAGAATGACATAGTAGAAATAAAGAACACATTGGAAGGACTAAACAGCAAAGTAGAGGAAGCTGAGGACCGGGTCAGTGAATTAGAAGACAGGGTAGAAAAAAAATCAACCAATTAGAAAACCAAAGGAAAAAAAACAACTACAAAACAGGAAGACAGCTTAAGAGAACTGTGGGACAACTGGAAACGTAATAATATTTGCATCATGGGAGTCCCCGAAGAAGAAAATGAGCAAAGATTAGAGAATATATTTGAGGAAATAGTGACAGAAAACTTCACTAATTTGGTGAAGAAGAAGGCATTCAAGTTCAAGAAGCATAGAGCCCCAAGTAAGAAGAACCCAAGTAGGCCCACACCAAGACACATAGTAATTAAAATGCCAAAAATTAAAGACAGAGAGAATCCTAAAGGCAGCAAGAGATAAGCAACAGGTTACCTACAAAGGAACCCCATAAGGCTATCAACAGAAACACTACAGGCCAGAAGGGAATGGCATGAAGTAATCAAGGTCATGAAAAACAAGGATCTGAATCCAAGACTACTCTACCCAGCAAGGCTATAATTTAAAATAGCAGGTGAGCCCTGGCCAGTTTGGCTCAGTGGTTGGAGCGTCGACCTGCGGTACAGAGAGACCCGGGTTTGGTTCCCGCTAAGGGTATGTACCTCGGTTGCAGTTTGTCCCCGGCCCTGATTGGTCGTGCGTGTGGCAGCCACTCGATGTGTCCCTTCACATCGATGTTTCTCTCTCTCTCTCTTCCTCTCTATCCCTCCCACTCTATCTGAACAAAAAATGGAAAAATGTCCTCGGGTGAGGATAAAAAAAAATAAATAAATAAAATAGCAGGTGAAATAAAGAGCTTCCCAGACAAAAAAAAAAAAGGCTAAGGGAATACATTAGCACCAAACCAGCACTGCAGGAAATGTTAGAAGGAATGCTGTAATTAGTAGAAGAAATAGGAAGAAAAATAGAACCGCACTAAACAAAAATGGCAATAAATAAGTATATATCAATTATCACCTTAAATGTGAATGGATTGAATGCTCCAATAAAAAAGACACAGAGTAGCTAATTGGATGAGAAAGCATGACTCATATATATGTTGTTTACAAGAGACCCACCTCACAACAAAAGAATCACATAGGT